TCTGATACCCATCATCATAGTTTATAAAACTGGCAGTGCTGTTATTACCTCTGTTATTTTCAGCAGCATTAAACTTATTGTTGATCCTCTCTTCCATTCAGCTTGGGGGAGGGCGCTACGACTCCTGACTCCAAAGCAGATGGTGCAGAGCTGCTGGTGGTGGACTCTTCCTGCTAATCCAGACAAAGACGTTGTCATAAATACGATCTTTGATTACCTGACTGAATCTCCAACGAGATGAAATTCACAGAGTTCCTGTCCGACCTCGTCATGTTTGTCCAACAGGTAGAAAGAAAACCTGATTCCTCTTCATTCAAAATGTACGCTTTTTCTTGTTGAAGGTAATAATCTTTTGTTTTTTGTATTGAGGGAAACCTTTCCTGTTCATCATACAAAACACTGTGAGTCCATATATATATTTATATAATGTTTATATTATTATTTATATATATGAAAGGTAACAATGTGATATTAATCCCACATGTTGCTGTTGTAGGTTAACAGACTGGACTCGGCCATGGTTACAGTTTCTCCTGATGTAGTGTCATCCATCATTTACAGCAAGTTGGCCTTATCCCAGTACATACCACCAGGTGAAAAGCACAGTCTACAAAATACTGTTAACATTTATATAATAATGATATTCTAAAAAAATAAATAACTATACAATTAAGTAATTTGCATTTTCGTTTGCTTTTATTTTAGGTTGCGTCATATACAGTGGACAGGTAATTTAATTGGTTTGTTTCTCTGAATATTGTCTAATATTGGTTGATGATAGAAAACTCATAACCTTCTTTATCTTTTCTCCCCCCAAGTGCACAGTTACCATGACAAATGGTAAGTTGTCTCACTGCTTAAAGAAATGAATTAATAAATGATTCAATAATTGAATGTTAGTAATCACCATTAATTATTTTATACCTATGTTTCACAGAAACAGACATTTGTGTTGGAGTGAACAGGTGAGATTTATTAACTCTCTGGTATCTTACTTTGAGCTTGTTTAATATTTTGTCAACAAATGTTTGACGTTTTATTTCCTTTTGAAACTACAGCACAATGCTGCAGCTCAATCTTGACAGCGGACTGATGAACAGAAGTTTCTGTCACTTTGCTGTAGAGGAATTTGCTTGTGCCTCAGTAAGACAACAAAACATCTCAGATTAACAACTGTCCTCCAACTACTGCTGTGTGAAACTGTTTCAATGTTATCTTCAGTATGTTTTCTGATCTTCCATCATCATTCAGCTGTTGTCATTCTGCTCTTTATCACACAGCTGTCATCGTTGAAAGCAAATGATCTGGCAGCGATGTTGGCGTGTGATCGCTCCTCCAACTCAAGCAGCTCAAGACCCGTCTGGAAGCTTCTCCTCTCCAAAGCCTCACGTGTGGCTGGATGAAGCTCTGGGATCTTCTAAGCAACAAGGTAGAAATCAGCAACAGTCCTCACTTTACTCTCTCCTGATCAGAACTAGACACTGGATACTTTGTTTTATCTCTTGTAGACTCTGGACCCCAAAAATCCTGTTCTGTCGATGGTTTTGGACGCTATACGAGAAATCCGATTGGACACATTGAGCGTGGACAGTCTGAATGATCCTGCCGTCATCCAGCTGTGGTTCAACCACCGGCTTCGTCCATTCCTGCCAGCAGTTTCCCCTGACTTCCTTTCATGTCTCACCACAAAGGGATTGAACTGCAGCACCTACCAGCACATGTAAGCTCACACACTTAATGTCATCTTCATCCAAACTTCTGAAACTTCGATGCAGATCTGATTCTTTGATTCCCATTAACCCCTCAATTTATTTTTGAACTCAGTTTGCAGATTTTGGGCAGTCTCCAGCCACACATGACGCTCCAGAGGCAGATATCAGTCTACACAGACTTCATCCAGGTTTATCTGACTACCAACAACACCAAAGGTAGGTCCTTAGATTTCAATCAAGATGGAAAATCAAACTCAGTAAGTTTAGTTTGAGTGTAAACTCTCAAAGTCTCTCTGTACACTTTACAAAAAAGTTAAGAAATGTTTGAGAAATGTTTTTTACTACAGTTAAAGTATAAAGGTTAATATGTACAGTGGCTTGTGAAGCTGTAATACTCATTGTACACCTGGAAACAATGTTATTGGATGACAAATGGACATACAACTTTGCCATTATTACAACCTTCTTTATCTTTACGACTTGGTCCAGCCTGTGTGTCAGCCTCCAACGGCAGTGTAGATTGGCTGATGAAGAATCTGGGTCTGTTTTCAAGACTACTGACCGTCAGTGAGCTGGTTCATCTCAACCCAGACTTCAACT